CATTTTTCAAATTTCGCCTTGGGGCGGAGTTATCTTTTCACAGGGGGGTAAGTTACACTTTAATGTGGAGAGTATTGACTTCAAATTTGTGCCAAAGCTTCTTCACACTCTGGTGCACAGAACTTATCAATGGTTGCTGGTTAATCTGGTTGCTGTGGGTGTGGGGGTATTTTCACATCAAACATAGTTTTGGGTGTAACATCACTACAAACTGTTCCAACTTTGCAAAAATGTACTTAATGCATGGGCATCTAGTCCTGAACATAGCCATATGCTTTGAATTCACCACTGCACCACCTAGTGGCAGTGTAAAAATGCCTTTTAGTGTTTGAAAACGTCTCACACCTTTCACACTAGCAGCTTCAAAGCTGTTGTGTAAAGTTCAGACCCTGTGAGAAACTGAGAAGATATTCATGCTTTACAGCAGACAAAGGGTGTGTCTGGGGAAGTGTAGTTGTTTGTGTCCCGTTGGTGAATAACTGGCCTTTATGTACTGCTGTGTTTGGCTGTGCTAAACAAAACCTGACAGGCGACTGCTTTAACTGGATGTACACACAATCCTGATTGCCCCGGTGTGTGAGGGCTCGTTCTCACTGCTGTAGTTTTAACCTTCATTTGCTTTAAAAGACGTTTGAAGGAGGAGCCATCATCTTTCATTACCACCCCAGTGGTACCAGGAAACAAAGGTATGGACCCGCTTTCCTTGTTCATAATTTAATCAAGTGGGGTTATTATTTCTCATCAGCATGGTTTTAGACCTGAGGCTTTGGAGGTTTTCTGTGCAGGTGTCAAAAGTTTCAGCCGATGCACCTCTAGCTTTAAAAGAAGTGAGAAGACTTTGAGACGGCCGTGACAACACTGTGACCATTTTAGCCGCCTTCCTTAATATTATAACACGTTTTAAATTCAAGCAAAACTGTGATTCTCTGCTAACCGTACGAGGACACTGAGAAACCCTGAYTTTCAGACTTTCCTAAATGATCAAAAAATAAATAAATAAATAAGTAGGTCCTCTGGATGGGTTCTTCTTTAGAGAAACGTTTCGTCTCTCCTCCAAGAGACTTCTTCAGTCTGATGAGTTTCAGGTGAACTCAGCCTTAAGAGCACTGCCTCCACATGGTGGACAAACAGGTCAGTCACATGCAAAAGAGGGCCATCGCCTAACAATAGGCTTGATTAGCTCTATTGTTCATAGCGGGTCATGTGCCCCATCACCTGACTTATTGGTTGGATGCTGTGGTTCTTAGGTGTCCAAACCAATAAGTCAGGTGATGGGGCACATGACCCGCTATGAACAATAGAGCTAATCAAGCCTATTGTTAGGCGATGGCCCTCTTTTGCATGTGACTGACCTGTTTGTCCACCATGTGGAGGCAGTGCTCTTAAGGCTGAGTTCACCTGAAACTCATCAGACTGAAGAAGTCTCTTGGACGAGAGACGAAACGTTTAACTAAAGAAAAACCCGTCCAGAGGACCTACTTATTTTTTTTTCTTTTTGATTTTTTTCTACCTGGATTACTGATGCATCAGGATACAAAGACCAGATCCTATAT